GAGCCAAGGGTTGCCAAGGGTGCCCCCTGCTGCTCCAGGACCCTGGCACCGCCTTTCCCGTGCGGCCGCCGCTCGTCGTGGGAGCCCGCGGGTGGAAGGGACTTGGGGTGTCCGTTGCGCTTGCAGCCTTTAGGGTGCAGAGACCTGCTCTGTCCCTGCAGAACTGAGCGGGGGGCCCGCCTGGAACTGGGCTTGCAACTGCATTTACTTTTAATTAATATTAAACACTCCATGCAGGGTTTTGTTTTTTTTTTTAATTTTAAATCTGTTTAGAACAACTTGGACGCGCGAGTCCACTTTCCCAACTGTGAATTTCATGAAATCTAAACGAAGTATTTCAATGAACATGCTCCAAATTGAGATTTGCTGTGTCAAGTACACACTCCATTTGTATGGTGAGCGTTAGCGATAGTACTTAGTAATAATTATGATGGGTGTGATGGTGGGGAGCAAAAGAATGTGAAATAGCTCATTAATAAAGTTTATACTGATTACTTGCTGAAATAACATTTTGGGTGTAATGGGTAAAATAAAATTTTTCAAATGTCCCCTGATTTTTTTTTTTTTTTAAATATATCTTTATTGATTTCAGAGAGAGGAAGGGAGAGGGAGAGAGAGAGAAACATCAATAATGAGAGAACCATTGATCGGCTGCAGCCCGCAACCCGGCCATGTGCCCTGGCCGGGAATTGAACCCTGATCGCCTGGATCCTAGGTTGACGCTCAACTGCTGAGCCACGCCCAGCTGGGCTTTTTTTTTTTTTTTTTAAATGTTGCTACTAAATAAAAATAACACTTGTGGACACCAGCAATTTGAGAGTTCTGAGCATCGCCACCTGCCCAAACCCTAGGAGGGGCTTCAGGCTGTGACCAGACGTCCAAGAGACTCACCGAAGAAGCTGAGCCCACCCTCGACCCCGGAGTCTTCTCAGATGCCCGGTGAAGGTCCAGCTGGCACTCGAGCTGTCTCAGGAGTACTGGCAAGAACCTTAGCAGCTTGACTCTCAACCTTACTACTAAATTCCCTTCCCTTCCACTAAAACATTTGCCCCAAAAGCAAGATGGAGAAAAAAAACTCACAGGGGCTTGGACTGGGGCTGGGTCAAGGCCTGCTCTACAGGAGCAGACAGGTGAGGAGGACATTGGCATCTGTCTGGAAAGAAAGGCTGCGAAGGGCCTTACAAGCTGTTAGATAACTCACCCTATCTCTGCTTAAAAAAGACCCAGAGGAAAGGATACTTGAGATTGAATCAAGATCAGAAGATTTGGATGTAGCTGTCATTATTGCCTGTATCATGGAGATCCTCCTGATAATATTAGCGTAGAGAACAGTTATGACATGGAGTTGACTTAGCTATAAACCCTATTGTACCATTTTTTCTTGCTACTAGTAATGTTAAGGTCATTACGCAGCAGCGTAGGTAACTTATAAGGAAAACTTGAGCTGTAACAAATTTTTTGATGTGCCATTTCAATTTTTAGTAGCAAATGTGTGTATAGGCATCTTAATAAAATTTGAGGCCTATTTGAGACCTTTTTTAAAAAAACAAATTACACGTGTGGCTCCCACTCCATGTCTATCGGACAGCGTTGCTCTCCGTATGGATCGAGACACAGCGTACCTTCTTCCACCCTAGTAATCATCTCAAACCAAGCAGGTGGTGATGGGTTTTGCCATGATCGTGCGGGAGGTAAAGGCGTGGCTCACTTTGCTAGGACTCCCACGGCAGCCCTGCTGAGAGCAGGTTCCACTGAGGTCCTCTGACACGAGCTGGGCTTGGGGAGGAGAGACTTCCAGGGTCACTCAGTTCGTGGGCAGCAGCAGCTTGTCCACCCTCTTTGTTGTGTTCCGTCGGTAACGGATTCCAAAGTTGTCTGGTGGACAGCGAGCCAAGTGCACATCGATTCTGGACGAGACCCAAACGCCTTGAAGGTGAAAGCTGCCTGCAGACTTGGCCACGGACTTTGCATTATACGCCAAGACCATAAAAAGTACCCTTGTGGCCAAAGGTGACAGGATCAGGGGATCCCCGAAAGCCTGAATTCCATCATTAGTCCTTGGCTACTGTCCGGTCCCTCGGGGAAGGAAGGGCGGCTGACTGAGAGGCAGAGGGTTCAGAACCAGCTCCCTGGGGCACCAGCTCTGTGCCCTGTGAGTCTTGGCTTCTTCGCCCACCTATAAATCAGAAGACTATAGGCTGTAGGCTGGCTCAGTTGGAGGGTGAGGCCAATAAGGCGTTCCAACCACAGGAGCAGGGTCTGCACACAGCGCGCCTCAAAAGAGGTCAGCTATTTCTGCTTTTGTGAAATTGCTTTGAAAACTGTACGGCGTTGCTGCACATCCTTGGGTGTGGTTGCTGCCGTGTGCAGACGGCTCCAGGATAGAGCAGATGAGGAGAAGCCATCCACGCGTGCCGTGTGTGTATTGAGGAGGCAGACTGGCAGGAGCAGGACCCAGGAGGTGGGATCAGTTTCTAAGAAAGTCAGGGAAAGTCAGACACGGCTGTGGTCCAAACTCAGAACCTACTGCAACTCTAATCATTTTCCGGTTAAAATGATGATGGTGGTTGTGGTCCCAGCACTGTGCTAAGCCCTTTACCCATATTTAATCCTTAGAAGCTCCGTATGCGCCAAGTATCATCATTATCTTCCCTTGTTATAAATCAGAAGACTAGGGGCTCAGAGAGGTGTAGCCACCCACACAGAGTAGCACAGTCAGATTCCACTTGGACAGTTTGACTTCTGGTCCCGGGCTTTACCCGTACTCCCCTCCTCATTACAAGTCAGAGGTCCAGACCCCAGCTCTGCTCCATGGGTCATACGCTCCTAAAAATTAATGAGGGCCCCTCAGGGCTTTTGTTGTGTGAGTTATATCTATCAATGTTATATTAGAAATTAAAACTAAAGCTTTAAAAACATTAATGTATTAAATCATTAAAATAACAATAATAAACCCATAACATTTTTTTTTTTTTTTTTTTTTATGAAAACAAATTGTATTTTCCAGGACAAAAAAATTTTTTTTTAAATCCTCAACAGAGGATATGTTTTATTGATTTAGAGAGAGGAAGGGGGGGAGAGAAACATTGATGCGAGAGAGAAACATCGATTGGTTGCCTCCTGTACACGCCCCAACCAGGATTGAACCTGCAACCTGGGTATGTGTCCTGACCAGGAACTGAACCTGCACAACCCTTCGGTGCATGGGACAGTGCTCCAACCAACTGAAGCCACACCGGCCAGGGGTCCAAAACAAAAATTTTAGTGAAGAGAGTGGCCTTCTTTTATCTTTTGCCAATCTCCTTGACGTGTGGCCTTGTGGGAGACAGCTGGGTTCTCACAGCTGCTCCGCATCACAGCTCATGACTATGATGAGCTGTTCTGGTCGAAGCATATAAAGAAAACCTGGCCTCACACAGGGAAGTGGCTGGGAAGGGGAGGAGTATTTCAGTAGCCTCCCCAGATAGTCAGGACATTGTTCTTTGATAAGTTTATGAAAACAGTTTTGACCTCATGGGCCCACTTTGTGAACCGCTCAACTCTACATACGTGCTTCTGCGTTTACAGACACAATCTGTGAGTGTAGCAGACACTCACGGTAGCTCACCCCAATTCCCTCAGTAAGTAATCCAAGGGCCACTCGTAGGCAGTTTCCCGCCACGCAAATGGCTTCCTAAGTCTCTCTGCCTAAGGCCCCTGGGAGCAGCCCTCACCCAGTGAGGACAGAGTCTGTGTGCAAACACCCAGCTTCCTTGGTTCCAGGTGGGATGCTGCTGAGTGTACTACAGCATCTCCAGAGACCCCGAAGAAATGGAAGCCCAGCCTGGCTGGTCCGATGGTAGTGGGTTATTAGAACCTAGCAACATTAGTGTCACTAAAGTTGGTACACAACCCGCCCAATGCTAAGTTTTACTGTTTTTTTTAAAAAAGTGTGTGTGTGGTGGGGGAGTTCAATTGGTTAGAGCGTTGTCCTGATATTCCAAGGTTAATTTCCAGCCAGGGCACATACAAGAATCAACCAATGAATGCATAAATAAGTGGAACAAATTTTTTTTTTCTCTCTCTCTAAAATCAATTAAAAAAAAAAAAGGGTCCAGCCAGACCCTGTGCCAGGGCATGGATACTGACCGCAGCACTGGAGAGGGTCCCAAGGCTCCTGCTGTGTGGCATGCCCCCTCCCCACTGGCTGATTGTGAGGGGTCAATGCAGACCACACTGTTAAGTCCCCAGAGTACCAGCATTTCTTGCCCTTCATCTCATGTGGCACAGACTCATTTTACATTCATGTTCTGGACTCTACAAGACCCCTCTGGATAGTCCTAGGATTCAGCTCATCCCCAAAGTCATTCGGGGGTTGCTGGGGCCTACCTTTGCCNGGTCCAGCCAGACCCTGTGCCAGGGCATGGATACTGACCGCAGCACTGGAGAGGGGCCCAAGGCTCCTGCTGTGTGGCATGCCCCCTCCCCACTGGCTGATTGTGAGGGGTCAATGCAGACCACACTGTTAAGTCCCCAGAGTACCAGCATTTCTTGCCCTTCATCTCATGTGGCACAGACTCATTTTACATTCATGTTCTGGACTCTACAAGACCCCTCTGGATAGTCCTAGGATTCAGCTCATCCCCAAAGTCATTCGGGGGTTGCTGGGGCCTACCTTTGCCCCCAGGCTCCTGCCCTGAGTTTGGCCAAAACGGTAGCAATGCTGTGATGTCTCTTTCCCCTTGAGGTGGACATGCCTGGCAGTGCATACCTAAGTCACACAGCTGTGTGGTGGCCAGGGAGTCCCCCTCCCGAGGTGGACTGTATTTCTCATAACCTTGGGGCCTACTTCCTGCCCCTTCACACAGCACTGGGAGGGCATACGCCCAGGACAGCCCTCTGTGCTTCTACCACTCTGTGGGTGGCCAAGCAGCAAGACAAACGAAATGTGGGTGGAGCCTGCTCAGGATTTTGGAGGCCCTGGGAGGCCTACTGGCTGCATCCTGACCATCAATTTATCTACAGAGGGCAGGGTCTGGGCCAAACTGCCAGCAGCCAGATGTTGACAAGCCACTTGTGGTTAGGTCCAGCTGCCTCTACCTTTCTGAGACCAGGTGCTTCTTTATTTTCTAAATGTGAAACAGAGACTGGGGAACCACCATGTGGCTAGGAGAGAAGATAACTCCCTCTCCTGATGAGCAGCTGGGAGCCAAAAGTTTATTCTCCTATTACAGTTCTGGAATCCTGCAAGCTTTCCCTCTTTAATGCAGAGCAGGCTTAAATTTGGAGTGCTCCACTTTGATCAATTCCTGCCTCCAGCCCCCAACCACTATTTTAAGAAATACATTTTAAGTGGTGGCCTACAGCACACATACCAAAACAAAACTGTAACAAAAATGTAGCTTTAAAAATGCTGGCTGCAACCTTCCACATTGATTCTTGTCCTGCTAATAATCTGCTACTGTTGTTTACAAATAAAGGTCTAGTTGCTGGCTCCTTTTATATGCTGCTTCACCCACCTGTTGCATCAGTCCCCAATTTTTTCACTCTTATTTTGCAAGCACCAGTGGCATCGCCTGACATTTCTGTTTCTTTAACTTTTCTTTTTATAGGCACAATTCATGCTCTTTACAGAAAACTTGTGAAAGTAAAGCCCCTCTCTCAGCCCTTATCCCCTCCCAAAGACAACCCCTGTGATTGCTCTTTCTCCCAGGTCTGTAGACCCGCTTCAAGACCGGAGGAACAGCATTTTTCTGTGATGGGAATCACACCGCACTGAGCTTGTTTATCTGGCATCAGGTTCTCAAGTTTTCCAGATAACCTAAGCATCAAGTTTTAAGAACTAACACTTTTTAACTATTATGAAAGCAACTCTTCAAAGAAAAGCTTGAGATATAATTCACATCATATAGTTCACCCTTTTAAAAAGTGTGTCATTCAGTCCCAGCCAGTTTTGCTCAGTGGTTAGAGCCTCGGCCAGAGGACTGAAGGGTCCGGGGTTCGATTCCAACCAAGGGCAGGTACCTGGGTTGCAGGCTCAATCCCTGCCCTGGGAGGCAAACAATCAATGTGTCTCTCTCACATCGATCTCTCTTATTTCTCTCTCTCTCCCTTCTACTCTCTCTGAAAAGAGAAGGGAAAAATATATCCTCTGGTGGAGATTGAAAAAAAAGTGTTTAATTCAGTAGTTTTTGTATATTTCTCTAACTCCAGAACATTTTTCTTTCTGTGTACGCTCCCCCTCAGTTCACTCTCCAGCTGCGGGCGGGGGGCGGGGTGTGTGTCTTGGACAAGTCGCCGGCGACCTGCGCCTCAGTCTCCTGGTTTGGAGCACGAGGCACCCAGACCCCTGGTGGTGCTATGCGCGCACTGAGGCCCGGATACTTGCGCCCGGGCCCCCGTCACGTGCGAAGTTAGGTCACGTGCACAGCAGGCGACAAGTGCGTCCCCGCCCCCTGGGCCAGCGCCCCCTGCCCGGAGCAATTGCTGTTCTATTGCACTGTAATTAAATTTAATCTGTAAGTGGCGCAGCATTTTTCTGTTAAACGCACTGTGTCGTTTTCCCGTCCTGCACTGGCTTGGCGTCCACCCGGAGCCACGCCGCCCCACGCAGACCCCTAGGGAGACCCGAGACACGGGAAACACGGGAAACTCCTCCAAACCCTGCAGCGAGGGCCGCGCTGCGACGCATGCGCGCGGCCGGCGCAGCCCGAGAGCGCCAGCGCGCATGGGCCCGGGCGCGTCCATTTCCCATTCCCCCCCACGCCGATGGTTC